GAAAAGCCCAGAGCTATTTGATTTACTGCCACGTCTCCGTGCAGTATTGTTTGTCATGTGTGACTGCAATTGCAATAGTTTGTTCAGTATTTTTTTTTTTTTTTAATAGAGTCATGCGGTTGATTTAAAAAAAAAACAAAAAAACAAATATAAGGCTGGGAATGTGCTATAACCTTTGGCGTGAGCTCTATATCAAGCAGAATATATATATGCTTTTTCTGTCACATGAAGTGGTAACAAAAATAAACCAGTACTTTCTCCACTGATATCATGTGATTTACACTAAATTCATTAATTTTAAGTGTAGTTTTGTCGTTTTTCTAATATTCTATCCCCTCAAAAAGTGGGAGGGAGGCAGGAGTCCATCAAATTTAGTCATCCTAAGTGTATAAAAAGTGCAGTTTGAGGTTTGTAAGATAAAGATATTTAGAGCAGGTTCGTGTGGAAAAAATTTGAAAAAATAATCTTTCCTGATGCAAAAAGCACTATGAGGCAGTAATGCTGAAATACAGACAAACAAATGCTGTAATTCATACATTCGTTCTCATCTTTAATCTGTCGGATGGAAACGGAGCCTAATAATATAACAAAGAATGACTAGAGGCCGTGAAAGTTGTGCCAAACAACCCTACGACTTCTGGCTGAAGATCTGGCTTACAGCCGTTTGAAAACACGGGGGAAGACGAAAAGACAAAAAAAGTCTGACCTGGCTGCTCTGCGGGCTGGACGGGTCATATGACGGCACGTAGCTCTTGAGGGAATCAGCAGGGTTGAGATGAGGCGGGTAGCGGATGGTGGGGTGCGAGAAGTAGGACGACGCCGTCGGGGGCAAGATAGCCGAGGCCGAGAACTGCAGCGGCGAGTGTGGAGGGGGGCTCCTCGCCGATATAACTGCAAGACACGCAGACAAAGGAGCGGAGAGAGTATGAGCCTTTGACTGTGTTTAGACAGGAAATGAAGTCAAACGTTAAAGAAGCGAGTCAGCATTTGGAACTCACCACTGTGTCCTACGCTTGTTAGGCCTGGGTGATGAGGCTGAGGGAAAGTGCTGAGTCGTGGTGAGGAGTCCTGCGGAGAGGTCGGGCTGAACAGCGGCTTCTCTGGCTTCTTCATCGTAGGAGAGGACATGTCTGCTGGTAGGGAAGGGCACACGAACACGTGAATGAATCTGCACTCAGAAAACGTTAGCGAGCCTTTTTGAATATTGCTCAAAAGTTCAAAAGTTGAGCTTCTTTCAGGTTACACTCATGGGACTCAAGTAAAAAAAAGTTTCTCCCAACTTCCCTGACACAAAATGACTTCCCTAATGGAAAAAATGAACTTTTAAATATTTTCTTTTGCAGATTTTTAAATTTTTGTTGAAAATTAATCAAAGATTTCCCCGTAGCTTGTACTAATTCTTCCATTTCTCATGAATGAAAGGAGCTGAATGCCAAAAATGAATTACAGTTGAAATTAAGCACAATTTGATCTGCTTGGGATTAGTGCGATCAGGGGACCGTTTCTTTCCCCCCCCCCTCCCTTTCGCCAGCAAATGTAACTCGCAGATGAAAAATGGACTCTGCAAATTGCAGACATCCCCAAGGGTCAAAATCACATATAATCTCTGGAATCATTATAAACCACCGGACATCCGCTAGAAATAAAAAATGTGTCTTCTGTCATGTCTGAGAAGACAATTAAATCCAGTGAAGTGACACGCAGTCGGAAAGCAGCTGGTCGCTCAAATAGGATTTAAGGAATCTCAAGACCCTCACGTAATCTTAAATAGAATATTACAGTGTTACATCTGCTTTGTTTGGCCTCACACACTGTTTGACAAGCCACCATAATTCCCCATGAATAATCCTGGAGGCTCAGCACAAGACACGGAATTTGTTTAGGCAATTCGTGTAGTTCTATGAAGTCAAAGTAGGTGCACAAACTCAACTTACGAGTCGCTCATTATTGCTGCTCTACACTTTCGTGAGCAATGTTCTGCTGTCACGGCTGCGCAGTTTTCAATTTTCCATGGTAAGACGCAGTGTCTGAAGGGAACGTGATAACAAATAGATCCGAAAGGCAGTGGCTTATGTCTGCTTGTGCTTCTTCTATGAACATTCATCAAGTGCTTTTCTGGTCTGTCACAGATTCTTGCGGTTTATAACTTTCACATCATTCATTGCTTTCCCCCCCCCATCCTCCAAAAAAAAAGAAAGAAAGAAAGAAAGAAGTTGTGTAAACGCCATTTGTTCAGACGTTTCTGTAGCATTAACCGTCCTTCCCTCCCTTTTCCTAACAACAGGGAAGGATCCACCCAAGTGACGGGAAAAATCGCTCATCACCAGAGGAGAGAGCGACAAAGGTGGCTGGAATTCAGGGGGATTTCCCAGTCTGAGGTTGCAAGAGGATACAGGCTTAAGTGCTTTCATTTTGTGTCAGAGGAAGAAATACCTTGGAGAAGATTTATATCGCTGCCTAATGTTTCCAGTAAAAAAAAGAAAAAAAAAAGGGAAATATTTTCTCCAGAAGAAGTATTCAGCTTCTCCTCTCTTCTGCTAATTAACTGCTTCAGAGACTGTCCCAAGAAATTAAACTGGACAATTAATTAACAGACGTTAAACACTTTAAACAGTTTAAATAAAAAGGTCCAAAGTGTCCTTGCAGTTAGAGCAGATTGGCCGTCCTTTGGAAACAATATATTTTGTATTAAAGGGGGTAAATATGACACCGTAATGCAAAAAAAGGAGACAAATGTGAAAATGTACAGTACTTTAACCAGAGCACAACACAAGAAAGAAACTATTTCTTCCACTACATGGTGAGGTTTTGTCAAACGGCAACCATGTGGACAAAATAATTGCTTGGCACTTGGTATGACTCATATGGGTTTAATATCACCCCACTTCTCATTTATTCTCTCTTGACAGAGTAATGGCTGTCTTTGGAGAGTTTCCTACCCACTGCTTTCCCTTTCTCCTCACCCCAAGTGTCTAAGTTTACACAGAGCCATACTCTCAGGCCTTGTGCACAGGGACACGCTGAAATTTCATGCAGCCACATTGGGCTGTGGCTAAATCCCACCAGTGCTGCGCCTCCTGTGTATCATGTGGTGTTTTTCCCCTTCCTACTTATTATATTAAAATAGTTGAGCAAACCAAAAGAGAAGTGTTCAAAGTTCAGACCGAAGCTAGAAACCGCAACAGGCCTTGGCGTGGCGGGAAGAGATGTGCTTTACTTTCAACGATACCGTTCATCACGTTCAAACAAAATGTTTACTACTGCCTCACTTGGTTAAATCCAGATGAAGTGTGGGCATCGGAGTGTTGAAGGAAGTCAGCAGAAAGTGAGAACGATCTGGAAACGTGGGAAAGCGAGGCCTTAATTAAAAGGGCGACGGGCTCTGCTCTGCACCGGGAGACGGCGAAATAAGACATGCAAGCGGCCCTGTGAAGATCTCACTCTTTCTCGGACGGAAACACACATCTTTATCTACTTCCTTATAATGTGAGCCCCATGCATTCGCTTATTACGAGTTCTTTCCCTTCTGTGCAATAAACTCGATCATCAAAAGTCCACTGATTGGCTTTTTGTTCATAACTCACTGCAGATCTAAACCGGATGAGGTTTATGACAAAAGAAAGCGCTGCGTAAACACAAACTTAGAAGGAAATGCCAGGGAGCTGTTGCATACAGATAATAATTCATTTCGAAGCTGTTGAGCCAACACTCTACGCTACTTCCTTTATACAAGCGACAGGTGTGAGAGAACAAAGATTTCTATTCAACCAGCAACTCCAAACGAATGTACGTATTTACAATGACTGTTGATGCCCAAGGCTATATCTGCCATGGTATTTTCAGAGGGGTGAGCAGCATTGATGTACAGTAGGCTATGACAAGGCTGAGAGTTTAAGAGAGTTCAGCTGCTGTTGCAAAACAATGCTAGGTGTTCACTTTGATCAGATCTATTTGCATGCAAGGACACAAGATCTTCTCATCCCTCTGCAAATTATCTCCACATGCTCTTGTGCAACCGTGAGCCGAGCGCTCTGTATGTTTGTGCAACCATGTAAATTAGAAGGAGAACGATACTGGGAAAGACTCACCTCCGTCTCTGTCGCGCCAGTTTGCCTGACTGTTTGGCGGGCTGGGTGACGAGTAGAAGTCGGGCCCCGTCGGGCTGGTGTCCATGTTCTCCTCCATGTTGACGGTTTTGGGCCTTTTGCTGCACACATGGAGAAGTTTACGGTTTGATGCAGACAGTAGTTTGGGGGACCGCAACTTTCGAGAACGCAAGATGGTGTCAATACTGATTTAGGGGCAGTTGGAGAAGATGTTTGACAAAGATTAACTGGCATTATGTACAAGCTTAGTTAAAAGGAAGAGTCCAATATTTTGGGAAACACCCTTGTTTGCTCTGTTGCCAATAGTTAGATGGGAAGACTGATGTCACTCTCCTGATAGTGTGCTAACTCTAAAGCTAAGGGCTGGAGATGTTTAGCTTAGCTTAGCATAAAGATGGAAAGCAGAGGGATGCAGCTTTATACTGACTAAACAAATGTAGTATAATGCGGTAGGCACATTTGTCATCATCTTTGTTTCATTTGTGGTTCATTTTGGCAAAAATATATACAAAACAGTATCTCGGAAGAAGTCAGTGCACTTCCCTTAAATTTAATAAGATATTTTTGTGTTTAAAATGATCAGATAAGAAAGCAAAGTCACTCTGATGCTGCAGCAGAACTGCAGCAGCGCTTTTATCTCCAAATAGCTCTTATCCTGAAACTCTATCTGTTGCCGTAACTTCCACTGACCTGCCAGGAGGGGAGGACAGGGGGCGATGCAGCCCCACGCTGGAGTTCAGGTCATGATAGTAGGGTTGGCTGGGCATGTCCGCCATGGAGAAGTTTACCGTTGCACCGTGGGTAATGGGCACTGCAAAGGACACAGAGAAAAGGAAATCAATGTCAGTACCGTCAGACTGAGCACCATCTTTCGCCCAATTAGATGCACAATGGCTTCATCGGCTTGTGTGTTTAGAACAGGCGAGTTATTTTTATTTGGCTAGATTTCTTTTTGGCTTTACAACAAATTAAAGAGTGAAATGTTTTTCTTTTTGCATTAAATGCCTCTTGTGAAAGTTAAAACGATGCCTTCGGATTGCTTCTAAAGAAACTCGTGGCAAACGTTCACAATCGCCAGCATTTCCTTCACTTCTTTGTCATCGGGCGCAAAACTTGGCAGTTTCCTCACATAATGATTTACAGTGGAAAAGGTGTTGTTTTTCTCACTGCGGTCAAGGTGAGGGATATTGTTTCAGTGGGGGCCAGGCCTGTGTTTACAGAACAAAAGAGGTTCACCACCCAGCTTCTCTCTCTCTCACTCTCTCCCGCTCTCTTTTTCCTCTGCCTCTCACTTTATCTCTCTTCAGCGTGTGGCCCGCAAGGCAGCCTGCAGCTCGAGCGGTCGGTTGGTTTGGAGTGGATGAGAGGATGGAGTGTGTGGCGCCGTCTGTTGTGGTCTGAGGTTCACCACTGGCCTATCCCTCCGCCAGCCTCCACCCTGGCAGCCCGCTGTAGCCCTGGCAAAGGCCCCTACCCGCTGCTACCCATACCGAGCTGTCTGTGGAGGAATGCACCCGGCCCGCGGACGCTTAAGATGAGACCATTGTTTTTATTTTGTCTGTTTTTTTTTTAAATTTTCTCATTCATAGCTTTGAACATTCCCGGCGATTTCTCTGTGTGCTGGTTTCTCTTTATGGCTCTCTCCTCTTGGCTCAGCACAATATTTGTTGACGATGCCACTTGGCCACCCTGCCAGTCATCTCATTAGATAATCTGGGCTTGGACATTTAGGCGAAAAAAAACCACCCCAAAACAAAAACATTAAATAGACAATGATTCCGAATCAGCTGCAGGAGAGGATTTACTTTGAGTAAATTCGCTCAACAGTTGCCCGTGCATGCCCACATTTTCTGTTGACAAAATATTGTTACACTTGCAGTCGAGGCTCCTGTTGCAAATAATGAGCGTCCTCGGCGAAATACAGGACTGCAAATCAGCCTTGAACTCCGCAGCCCCCCTTTCATGGACTTCAAAGAATGTCTCAACGGCCTGGAGAGTTGGGAGAGAAGCGCGATGACGGACGAGCGGCTGCTTAGATATCTTCCCAGGGAGCGACTGGCTGAGTGAGTGACAATTCCTGTGCGTCCGTCGACCTTTTTAAAATTCCAGCGCGACTTCAGTCGGCTTTAGTGAAACCAGGCTCGGTCACATGAGAGCAAACATGGCAGCTCAGAGGCCATCTGGTCAGGGGGCACATTAAACACTAAACAAAAACACAGAGTCTTTCAAAAGGATATTCAGTGTGCGAGCATGGAAACAAGTAGGTCCTGTCTTTCACAGCACAATGAACGAGACAGCTGAGACAAAGTGGCTCACGCTTCCATCAGAGACGTGCTATGCACTACATAAACTACAAAAAAATTCAGATTTAATCAGCATTTGTTGTTAGCATTGCAGTGAGATTTCTTCCAAATATAAAGACATACTTAAACTACATACAATTATTTTCTCCTACTCTCCTCCTAAGTCCATGCTGACATATTAATATTGTTTGTTTTGTCTACTCCAAAAACCCAAATAATTTCATTGAGAAGCTGGAAGTGACATATTTAATTCATAAGTGATCTCCATGAGTCAACAATAAATATTTCCTAATTTATGTAAGTATCCCTGCTTATTCCACACCACGCTAACCATCGGATTAAAACTAGCTGGAAGACGGCGCAAGATACAGACAACACATGGAGGTATGTTTCTTTAAAACGCTCGTTGTTGAGGGTGACTGGGGTCTTTGTGCACCGCAGGCGCATTCGCTACAGTTACAGCTCAGAGGCAACACAGGTAAAAGGTGCCTTGACGTGCCCTCAGTTATCATTGGAGTCCTGGAGGGACGACCGTTAACGGCTCTGCGCGGGGCGGACATGTCTATACAGATGATTGCAGGCTCATACAGACAGCTGTGCACTCAAGTGCTCTTTTTCTCGCAAAAGCAGACCAGCCAAACTGGATTATCCACACTACAGCTGTGTGGTGGGTTTCAGTAAATACAGAGATTATGAGGAAAACAGAATTTTAAGTGGCTGTTGAGGGTTAAGACACTTTTATTTGTTTTGTTTTGTCTTTCTTAAATCTGTTTTTTCTCTTCATATGAAAACACATTAACACACAGAGCCTGTGCACACCCACACGAGTCTTTTCAATCGTCGTACCTTCAGTTCTATTCGCTAATTAGACCCCAGTTGCCTGTGAATAGACCGACAGAGTGTCAGCTTTTTGACCTTGATGTTAACTTTGTTAAACCTGTTACACTGTCAACATATCTCTAAAGCTCCAGCTTGGCTCCACCCGTGTTTAACATAACCACACGTCTGATCAGTGATAAGAGAAAGACACACACATTAAAAGCAATATAAGAGCTCTATACTCACTTCTGGACACTCGCACTAGTTCTGCAACACTGAAGACTCCTGATTTGATGAAACTGTCTTCCAAATACACTGAAACATAATAAGCAATGATTAATGAAGCTGTGACTTTCTCGTGTAATTATTTGCTTGTAAAATGAACAATAACACGAGATTTATTACGGCTATTAAATTATTTCATTAGACATGGATGGAGCTAAAGAACCTATTTTATTTCTTCTTTTTTATTATGATTTTTTCCCCCTTTCAAGTTGTGTTTGCATGCAAATTGATTAGTATCTTCTTTCAGTCAGGGAACTGTTCAAACAAAACAAACTGTCATTTAAAAACATTTTAAATTTGATATAAAGATATCATAAGATTATAAAGAATGTATTATACATTAAATTATGGATATAATTTATGGATTATGGATTTAGGAACGGGCAGTTTTTAAAAAATCTAAAAAATGGAAAAGGAAAGTGCATTGGTCACTGTCTATTTCCTGAAAGCGCCAATTATTATTATTAGTATTATTGTTGTTATTTTTTCCATCTAGTATTTTAAGCACAAATGCGGAGTGACTCGCTTTGTTTCTGGCCTGACATGTTTAAACAAATGCCGAGGACAAAACCATTCCTGTGCAGCGCAGCAAAGAGTGACAGGACAGGTGTGTGTGTGTGTGTGTGTGTGTGTGAGAGGCGGAGGACACGCGGGCTGCCGCTGCTGTGAGAACTGAAGACGAGTCCGTGCTGAACAGCAGGTCCTGCCCGTTTGATCAATACAACGGTAGAACTTCACCACTGTAAATATTGACACTGTTACGATATAACAGGATGAAATAGCTGCAGAAAAGCGTAATCATAAAAATGATCATTTGCAGAACCTTAGACTGCTCGAGTTTTCTTTTTAAACGAAGCTGCTCTGAATGAGGTAGAACAGGGTTATTTAAGCACAGCCAGATTTTTTTCTTCTTCTGTTTTTTAGAAAACCATTTTCAGACTAAATAAAGTACCCCTAATGTGTGTGTGTGTGTGTGTTTTTTCTTCCCCGGTTTAAACTATAGTGTGTATGCCCTGCCCAGAACTCATCAGCGCTAATCAGATGCTGTCAGTCATGTAAAATACTCAGACAAGTTACTGACACCCAAATGAAGCTGGCTCTGCTTTGATTTAAAGCCAAAGGCACTCGGGCTGTGCCAGAAAGATAGATGGGCATCTCGATTGGCACCTACTAAGCTTAATGCCTCAAGTGAGCCAATGGCTTTTGCGAGGAACTGTGCCACTGCCGAAGGCCTCCCAGGCCTGAGTCATTGGCTCGCTAGCATGTTTTTCTTGGCACCGGTATCAGCAGAACCTGCTCTTGAGGTAGAAAACTAATTATACTTCTCAAACTATTTTCATTCCAGCACTGTGACGACACAGTGCAGGTCAGTCCAGGGGAACAACGGCACTGTCAAAGAATATTCTCTACAGCTCAGCTCTGCTGGCTCACCTTGACGCACTCAACTACCAGCCAAAGGCGCAATATGCTGTAACGTTTTCACTCCAGATCTTTTTGGATTTTTTTTGAAAACACAGAAGCTCCGACTGGGGTGATGAACTCAAATGTTATTCTTTCCTTAGCCTACATAAAGTTTACAACTTAGGCTTTAGCCAGGGAATTTTCAAAAGTGATACTAACTTGAATTTAACTTTTTTTTTTTTAACATTTACCAACTGTCTGTTTAGCTAAATCTGGTTTGTGCTGACGATTTCTTTGGAGTATTCACACAGAGGACCATCTGGTATATACCTCGGGTGTGCTTAAACATAGCTTGTATACTTAGGTAGTTTCCCTTCCAGTCACAGAGGTTAGCACACTGTTTAAACTCAGTAGGTTACAGTGTAGATAAGCTGCTGTACAGTTGGAAAGCTGCACAGAAAACAATGGACTGATGACAGGAGGGAGGATGACTGGCACTGTACATACCTGGAAGAGGGTTCTTGCCTGGCTCATTGTTACTTGGACTTCCTGACTGCTGAGAGTCTGCAAACACACAGAAAGAAGGGCCGGGGATTAGCTCAAAAAGAAGGCAGCAACGTCTCGCTGAAAGTGAAATATTTTCTTGTCAGCGCTGATTATTTCCAGCAAAGAGGTCAAATCTTGCAACTTGAAAAATTACATAACTATGCAAACCGACTTTATTTTTGTTTTTTCTTACTGTAACATGTAACACCTTTGTGGGAGCAAGAAGTCATTTGCTGCTCGAGCGCGTGAAGGTTTTTTTTTCCTTATCTGTTTCTCCAGGAAAGTGCACCCACTGCACAATGAACAAGTCATTTTTGTTTGAACAGGATTATCATTAATGGGAGAGTAAACTGAAGCAAAAGCTCTGCGTCTGACACGGACTAACCTATAAACCTAAATGTTTTTACCCGCAGACCTCTGGGTAATTTTTCAAAGAGGCTGGGGGTGTGTTGGGAGGAAGGGGTGAGGGGCATACAAAATGTGTTTGGTCCTGCTGCGCAAGGTACAAGCACAGAACAAAAAACGTAGAGAGAGAACAGGAGGGGTGGGGAAACACAAGGAAACATGAGTGGAATTCTTTCCACCGGTTATGGTGCGCAGGGCTGTGGTATGAGGCCACGCGGACTGATGTGTTTTACCTGCCAGCCTAACTGGGAGGGTAACATATCATTCCTCATGAGTTTGTCATCGCCCAGTGATTGATCAAAGGCACCTTTTTTTTGTTTCCTTATAAGTCGTGCAGCATAACAGTCAACATCGGTATAAACTGGATTATAACCTTTGCAGATAGTTATGGTGTTTCTGTCGCACGCTAAAGTATATTAAGACCAAGCCATGCCTGGCAGGGGGCTCCTAATGGGACCCCAATAATAGTTCAAACCAGTCCAAGCCCATACATGCCCCGGGACAGACGGGGTGCACTAAGAAGCAGCAGAGAGATTACCATCTACACATTTAACATGAGACCCGAGAAGCCAGAGACGGTGAACTCAGATACCCTCGCCTTGGAACAACACCCCTTTTCCTGCCGCAGCTCTCATGAGCTGCGTTACAGAGGCAACGGAGAGAAGGAAAAGAGAGGCTGGTGGAAGAGAAGGGGAAAAAAAATACGTTGAAAGATTTATTCTTTTCTTGTTCTCTCCCTACGCTCTCTCTCTCTTTCTCTCTCTCTCACGTTCCCCCACTCCTAAATTTGACTATTAAACAGGACTGCAAAAACAGAATGTTCTTGGCCGAAGCTCAACAATGACAAAGCAGGGAGGGAACAGGACCATACATTAAGCAAAGGGGGTAAAAAAATCCCCTTTTATCAGAATGTTAACTTTTAAAAAATGTGTGCGTAACATACAAGTTAAAGGCCAACGGTACAGATCTGCTACACTTCCAAAACATGTGAAAACTTGAGCGCGACTTGTGCTTTCAACATCGAACTGTTCAGCTGTTTGAGCTTTCTCCTAAAAAGCTACTTTCGGTTGCTCCCTTATTCACAAAGGGTCGCCACAGCGGGCAGCTCCACATTATTTTATTTGGCAGATTTTTTCTTTCTTTAAAAAGGGATATTGTCTCCTCTCAGGATCGAACTATAGATCTTTTTGTTTGTTGGGCTGATCAGCAGTAAAAAAAGACTTCATTTAAAGTCGAAATAAAACAGAAAAAAACGAAACTTGACAAGCTGGGAAGCCAGAAAACAAATGATACCGCTCCTTCATAAATTATTTAAATGAGTAGTCAGCTATTTAAATTACTAGAGTAGATTTGGTCAATACTAAAATCTGCATGACATCGCAACTTGCACATTGAACGTGTTCAAATCAATTTCAGACATCAGCCAAATAGCTTTCTTTGCCTTCCACCAACACACAGAGAGTTCCTCCTACGAACACACACTCGCACAAACTTTTACACGAAGTTAGCACATGTCCATAAAGTTATCGCACGACACTCAGTGGCCTTGTCTCCCCGATCCAACCCCCCCCCCTCCCCCCCACTCCATCCCAATTGCCACTTTCCGAGTCATCCATCAGTCTAGTTACGACTGCCAACTCTACGCTGGCTCCCCGAGAACTGCTGAGAGGGAGAGAAACAGGCAGGGGGCGAGGAAAGAGCACAAGAGAGTAGGGAGGAGGTAAATGCTGAAAAGGCAGCGCGGGGAGGGGGAAAGGGAGCGGGGAGGTGGGAGAGCTGCTACAGTTCGGTTAGATCGGATCAGAGTTGTGCGGTTTTTTGTTTGTTTTCCTTTTTCCTTTATTTTTTTTCCACTTCTTCGAGGGCTGAACAGGCAACCATGACAAAAAGAGCAGATGGTCGTGGCAATTAGAGATCCCAGGCAGCATCTTCCAGCATGAGGCCCCACTGTAGCACCAGGAGAGACCACCTGGATGACTCAAGGTGGGATACAAGCATATGGCACATCTGCCAGGTCTGCACCAGAGCTGGAAACACCTCCCCTATTGCATTACATTTTATCTTTGACCCAAGAAGGGCAGCTTCACGCTCCCTCTCTTTTTTCAGTTTGATTAAAATATTTAATAAGACGCTTGCACATTTGGGAGTCTGCGGATGTGCTCGTTTTATCTCTCGTTCTCGTTCTGGGCCTTTCATGCCCCGTGGTGTTTTCTGCATGCATTTTTTATTTGTTTAGTGCGACCTCACTAAATCAACTTTCTATCAAATCTATTTAGATGACTAAATAGGTAGGATTGAACAGTCTTAGCTTGTGATTCAACAGGCGTTTGAACATAGCGCTCGTTTGAAATTATGCAAACAAGATAACCGTGCTGAACTCCAAAATATCAAATGAAATTTCATATAAAAGAGCGTTCTTTTTAAGGCTATTCTGAAAAAAGGAAAAAAAAGATTGCACAAAGTAAACATGTGGTGAAGCACGAGCCTGAGGCCTGGTATCTGTATCTACAAGGTGTCCTTTGCAGAAGCCCAGCCAATCCGATAGTCTTCAAATAAACAGTAGTGTAACCTGTAAATAAACAGTTGCGGTCGAGGAGGCTCGGCTTTGCCCTGGGAGTTTGGCAGGGCTCGATCGCGAGGCCAGACACCGCACACACGCGGCCTCTCTCTCTCGCACACATAAACACACACGCGCGCGCGCACATATACACACGCGGCCCTTTTCCAAAAACAACATTTCTTGGCACCCTCCGTCCCTGCCACTTGTTTAAATAAACAAACCGGTTCATGAAGGAAGCAGAAACACAGTACCACGTATGAATCAGATTATCTGTTGTTACTCAGCAAAAAAAAAGAAAGAGGGGGAAGAAAAAAGCAGGAGAAAAGGCTTGTGGGTATTTTGGATGTGTCCACGAGTTCTTACACCTTCTCGTCCGGTGGGATACTTATCATACCACTGTAACGATTAGGGCAATTAGGGGTAATGGCAACAGAAATCTGGCTCGGCAAGAAAGTTTCGCAGTGCTTGTGAGGTTTCTCCACGCCCAAGTGTGTTGCTCGCCTGGATTTCAGAATCACTAAAACACACACATACACTCTCCCTAACCCACCCTCTTCGTTTTTGGCATGTTACCCATTCTGTTCCCACTAAATTGCAGAACACACATGCACATACGCACACAGTGTGGGTTAAATTAGCCACATAGTTTGGGAAAGTTGCTTTTTTCCCCCCCTTTTCTTTCTTT